AGGGAATTCATGTTATAGAAGTTTTTACATTATCCAAATTAAGCACAGATAAACCCCACATCTTAGTATTTCTCCTGCCATACTAAACATAGCTACCTGGCTTGCACAGGTGGAAAACTTAGTATATATAAAATGTATTGTTAAAAGATGCTTGAGGAATAAAGAGTCCAGCTCATAAATGCTCAGAACAAAAGAGAAAGGGAAAAGCAATAGAACTTGTAAAGAAAGGTAAGGTTGAAAGCAACTCAAGCATGACATACATAGTGGTTTGGTTTTCAAGTCTCTAGGCATTACTGTGCAAGCAGAAAGAATTAACTTCCCTAGAGTTTCTAAAGTAGTGCCTAGAATGTTTTCAACACAAATTTAAAATCATGCTGCACAGAAAATAAGGACAGCAAACTTGTCAATTGCATTTTCCTAGTAGTCTAGAACACCTATTTTAAAATATTTTGTTATATTAAAATATTTCAGCCTAAAGCATGTCTAGGGCCTCTATAGCATCCATGTAAATATTCAGCTAAACAACCCCAAAAGAGAAGCTGCTTCAATCTATCTTGTCTCTGTCATGGAGAATGCATGGAAGAAAGCTCCCATATAATCAGAGACATGACATACACATCTGGTGATAGATCCACTTGATGAGCACACAGAATCCCATGTAGAAACAGCCCCTGCTCGTAGCAACAACAAACTAGTTATAATGCAACTGATCAGTGGCAAGATCTCTGGCACAGACTGCATATGGAGAACTGAAGCAGCCTAACTGTACACACACACACAGAGTTACATTTTATGTGGAAAAATGCTGAAAAGCAAAACCAACCTCCCCCCGCCCCAAACCCAGTACCATCAAGCATCCAACACCCTTGAATAACAGGGTTTTAACTTTTGTATATATTTACATGCCATTAACATGCTTTTTTTTAAGGATATTAATTGTCACTGACATAGATCACAAAGTAAGCATCAGGTTTTGACTGTGCAGCAGACCTTTAAATAGAGCATTCTCCTCTTTTTCCCTTTTCCCAGCCTTGGGGATAGATAAAACTTCTGCCTTATTTTGCTAAAGGAACAAAATGATCCTTTGCATGACAACCAGTGCAACACAAGTCACAAATACCTGCATGCAGAAATAAAAAAAGAAAAGGAATTCCTTCAAGGGCTTATTGTTGGTGAATATAAACATTTGTGTGTGTGCATGTGGTCAGATAGATAAATACCACACATAATGATGTGGCAGCACGACTACCAACTCCTTTGTGTGTTTCTTGGGTTAAAACTTTCACAAGAAGAGAAGATATTAACCTGAGAGTACAATCCCCTAGAAACTCCAGCACATAATTGCAAAACTGCCTTGAACAGAAGGACCTTCCACTGCAACAAAATGTACTCATTGGAGAAAAAACAGAAGTCTCTGCTATCTTCATATTTTAAAAACGTTTTAAAAGTAATGAAACAATATATATTTGTAGCTCAACCAGTGACAGACAGTGTGAGTTTGGCAGCGTGCCCCCGAGCGCCGTGCTGGAAGCCCGGGTGTTGCCTCCAGGGCTGCCGTACCACCGCCTGGCTCCACCCAGCACGTGCGCTTACCCATGGGCTCCAGGATCCAGGATCTGTGTGTGGCTCTCCAGAGAGCCACGCACCATGCCCAAGGACGGAGTCCACACGTTCAAGGGAGACCAGCTCACGAGCCACATCCCGCCCATGAACCTGTTGCCCTCCAAGCTCATTTATCCATCTTCACTGCAAGTATGTCACAAGTTGGGCAAATCTGCAATCTGGAACAGATTCGTGACTCACATGACCAGTTTTCTGCATTTGGCATCATAAACTTTGTGCCACAGAAACGTGTTCTTCCATCAACATGAACCACCACAGTATGTTTAATGTATACTACTGTGGGTACAGAGCAGCAGGTTTCAGGAATCATGACAGTTATGGGTAGATAACTCTGTTAATCGCGATATAGTTACATAAGGACAACTATTCTACAGTATAAGGCACAGAAGAAAATTTCCAATACCAGAGATTAAAAAAGATGTAAGGAAGGTAAATATAGTGATGGCACATACCATAATCCTGGGGTGGGTATCTTCTCAGTTTGGGACTGATTAAAAACAAAAATGTGCTCATGAGCAAAACATATTTACATTCAGGAGGTTTCCAAACCCTGTATTCAGCCTTTCATTAGGAATTAAATAATGAAGACGCAGCAAATCAAAGGGGAAGGGACAGATGAAACAATACTGTAGCCTTCAATTTTTGTTTTCAAACTTCTTACTTTGAAGCTTCTGATGTAGAAATTTAGACAAATAATAAAATGTTTAAATTATTTTGTGAATAGTTGGGAAAACACTACTAGACTATTTGTACACAAGTTTGAGGCATTTTGCTTTTAATTTGCATACAATTCGTTAAAGTGAATTCCACATGAAGAAGGGTGAGATACAACAGAGCTCATCTACCATTTCACAAGTTAACAGAATGAAGTCATCATCTGTCCTTCTTATTTATTAGCTTCCATCCCTTACTCCAACTTGTCACTTTCTGCTGCAAGACTCCATGCCAAATAAATGCATGAACTAGTTCCAGACTCCACAGACGTTTGCATGTGGACTTCAGTGGTACTGCAAATTATAACAGCAAGAAAAAATTGAAATAGGAAGACTTCAGAGGAGCTTATATTCTCTTAGTGTTTGCCAAACAAAGATCCAAAATTCATAGTAAAAAAATAACTTCAGTTATTCAGCTCAGCTACTTATCTGACTGGTTCTATGGAGCACACAGCTAAGGAGAAAAAAGAACACTTTGTCAAATAAGAGGGGTCATTAAATCAGAAAGACAGAGGTCTCAAAATAACTGTGCTACAATGGACTTCCCAAAGAAATTTATCTGGAACACAATTTGAGTATACTTTTTCCTTCTACATACAGATAAAGTGTTCTACCTATACAATTTCCATACATAATCGCATTTGAACAGGCTTTTGGCTTCGTTCAAACTGGCAAATACCAGCCTGGTCAAAATATGTTAAAACAATTTAATATATTTTACCTACAATGAGGTATTTTGCCTATGACAAAATACTGGCATGGTGCTAAGGACAGCATCATCTTTCTTCATGCTTTTATGAGACCAAATAATAGGTTAAGCATAGGTTGAAAGGGAAGCAGTAACCAATCTGTCTTGCAGATCTTTCCAAAAAGAGATGGGACTGTGAGGCTATGCAGGTGAAGAAGGAGCCAGAAGCTGCAAAGAAGCTGGACCTACTAACAGCAGCAGAAAATCCTTCTCACTAGAGCCGTCTTTATGTAGGTCTTACAGCAATAAACACCCATTTAGCCTTCTGCTAAAAATTTACAGGAAGCCTTTATTTTGGTGCAGGAATTCTGAACGTCGAAATTCTGCAACACCACTCGCAGTAAGCTGAGTGAAAAAAAATCCAGTCCATTCTGCTGAAGTGGAAAATTACAGAGCTTGGACTTGCACGTCTCTGACAGTAAGGGACTGCATACGCACACGAGCCCACACATCACAGCACGTCAGTCAATGCACGTGATGCCATTTGGGATTTGCCATTTTTGTTTCCTGATTATGGATTCTCCAGCAACTTACTGAGTCCAAAATACATCAGTACCAGAGAAGAGACTCTATAACAATAAAAATCTTTGTACACTTTAATATTTATTATCTAGTAATTTTTTGCTATATATTTAACACTAGTGTGACAAAATTCCTGATTATTGTATCTCATGCAGGTAACTTAAATGAGAAGTTAGCACGATCTAAACTGGTAACTGTACTGCTAGGGGGGTTACTTTGGAGTCTACAAGACATGTATTTCTGCACCCATGACAACTAGGTGGGTATGTATATAACGTAACAGGCTCAGCTGAATGTACTTGGCAGGTGTCTAGAAGACAGCAGAGCCTTCAGAAGGATTGAAAAGGCAACATCCTTTGACCTACATAGATGTGACATCATTGTTTAAGAGGCCTTGACTGGCATTGGAGACGTGCTGAAAATTCTTGTTAGGAGAGATGGTGTTTCTGTAGTCAAATAGTTTAGCTTCTGTTAGTTGAAGCTGCTGTGATCTGGGTTCTTTCTTTGACAGGGTAAAATGTGTTACTCACTCCAATCATACTACTATTGTTTAGATCACAACAGAGACATTGAGAGCATACCATACCTTCCTGCAGCTGAAGACAAGGATTGCTGATAGATTGCTGCTATTCCTTCTCTGCAATTCCTTGATGAGTACATTTTCATCAATACCAACTATGGAAATAAACTCCCTAAAGTCCAGATTTTAAAAAAAATATATTACAGGAAAAGTCTACTTGTAAATCACTTAATTCTTTTCTCCTACAATACCCACAGGTTTCAAAACAAAATAATTATAAACAAAATTATTAAAGGAATAACAGGAGTTGTCATGTCTTTTGTCGTACAGGGCATTTCCCTTTTTTAGCTAACATACATTCTAACAGAAATCTCACAGTACGAACCAGATAACTTCAATTAAAAACAAAATGAAATTACTCAGTCCAATGTTAGAGCATGTGTATGTGTGTATAATACTGTAAAAGTAGTCACACATTAGAGGTATATAATTGAAACAGCATTTTCCTTCATGAACCTGCTAATATTGAGGCAGTGACAAGGTTTCAATTTCTTTGTTTTCTAAGCTCTTTAGAAAATGGCTATTGCCACATTTTGTAAACCTAAATACTGTACAAGCAAAAGCTTGCCGGTATTAGGTAAAGAGCAACACTTAGTGCAAACAGGTGCAGAGACAATTCCTCCAGTTTTGGGGTGAACCAGCTATATAACACTGAAAGAGGACAAGCATCTTCTTCAAACCCACACTCATGAATGTTTCTCCACTCAGACATACATCCTTCTCTGTCTTGGTCTTCTTTTTACAAGGGCAGTTGGGGGAGAACCACCAGCTATTGTGATATTTCTCATAGGAAAGATTTCTTGATCATTTTCCTATTAGCATTATCAAAGTTTTATAACAAGTCAAGGAACAATAAATACCTCAAGCATCAGGAAAGTGACAATAATACTGACTTCGTATCTTTAGTAAAAAGTAAAACATTCTCTCCTGAGATATAAGTCAAGGAAGGAACAGGGATGATGAACCTAACACTATATCATTATTTGATCATCATGCACCTCACCTGACAAGATGAGAAAGAACAAGTGTTTATTGCCCTCTGCTCATCGAAAGCTATGACAGGCAGTTTATTTAGGTAAGTGCTTGGCATACCAGAATGTTGTCAGAGCAGTTCTCACTGTACTGTCCCCCTTTAGCTTATTTCTTTAAAAGAAAAGGAAAAAAAAAAATAAAAGAAAAGGAAAAAAAATCTCAGCAGGTTAACCCTCATCTTCTCTCAGCTCTGTGGGTAGAAATTTGTATTGCTGTTGGCGGATCTGAGCCAGTTTTTTCCTTGCCTCTTCCAGCTCTCTTTCCTTCTTTAGCATTTCTTCTTGGGCTGCAATGATCTAGAAAACAGAAGAATGAATTATGACAGCAAGGAATACTGTCTGTAAAACAACATTTCTTTTTCCATGACACCAGTCACAGCAGGGCCTTGAAAAGGCCCCTCCGGAAAACCCCCAAATTTCAGTGATTTCAGCAGCAATTGCTCTATTTTTATCAGGTTCCAGGACAATGCCATCAAGAACAGTATCATATTCCCACTTGCTTTTTAAAGAGAAGTAAAAAAAGATAAGAAGAATCTAACAGCATAGTTTTACCATACATCCATGATGGATTTCACAGTGCTGTGCTCCCCCAACATTCATTGAGGTGTAGGGTTAGCACGTTCAGGATAACAACCATATCTTAACATAAAATGTTTGAGTGACAGTAAAATTGAACACTCATTATTGCAGTTATCCATAGTATTTTCCTGCATTTCAAAAGGCCACAGGAAAAATGACAGTACTACAGACAAACAGACAGTGAATCCAGAAGCTGACATAATCTCAAAGCCTTGGAATCTGTTTTTAAATATTGTTATTTTTTCCCCAAATTTATTACGGTCACAGTAAGAAAATGTTCTTATCTTTCACTACGTCTTTGATTATATAAATAGAAATCTAATGTTCCATTAAGATTTGGGAATATTCCAAGTACATAGGAGATGTTTGAAAAGAACCATTAACTTCATCAGAACCAAAATTGAAGATACTGGACTATGGTAACTGCTATTATGGTAAATGCTCAATGAAGATGTGTAGAATCTTACAGCATGTGTTAGTGTTAGCGATTATCTAACAGTGAGGCATCATGCTATTTATCACAGATTTCTACACAGATTTGTCCAGCCTGCAATGCAGCATGTGGGCATTTATAAGACGATGCTACATCTCTGTGATAGTTTTCTCTGCTTTACTTGTTGGGTGATTGTACTAACCTGAGCAATGCCACCCACAAACTTTGTTTTGACCACAACATCGTCATCCTCTGCTTTCCCAAATGCTGCTTTTTGGGCTGCCCTGACCAGATTGTCCGATGCTCGCTTGACAGCATTGCCTGCAGCCTTCGAAAAAGACAAAAGAAATTTAGTAGTAACATGAACCCATAATGGACATGGATTCACCTGAACATCAACACTAAAACATCTCTGCTTGACTACACAGAAAAGGTGTGCTTGGTTTTGTTTTCATAGTGAAAAGCAAATAAATCTTTCAAAATCAATGATACAGAGAGAACACAAGTCTTTTATTTAAGAAGCCTGAGGTTGGGAAATTGACAAGGTGTTTTTATTGAACGAGAACAGTAGATGAAATCACAGGTTACGGTACACACAACACTGATAAGACATTGTTTGTTTGTTTTTTTTGGGTTTTTTTTTTTTTTGGAGGAAGAAGAAGAAAAAATGAAAGGTAGTGTACAAAGAAACATTTTAAGGCAATGATTCTGTTTTGAAGTCAGTGGACTTTCATCAGAGCAAATTAGCCACTTACACAGCTATGATTGTCTTACATTTAAATTCTTACTTCCTTAAAAATTCTCAGGTCTCTAAACAGTTTAAAGATAAACATTTATAATATGACTTCTGTTGTCTAAACTGAGTAGTGCCAGCAATTGTGTATCAAGAAGAAAAAGGTAACCATGCTACCTGTGTTATAGCACTGACAAAGCTGTCTTTGCTGTACCATCACGCACACTGGCAGAAGAGACTCCACATTGCATGCTCAGTAACCACCACGCCCACAGGCACTGCTTTAATGGACAAGAGGAGGATTCTTGAGAATCCTCAAGATCTGGAGGATACCGAAGGAGTGGCCTTGGAATCTTCTACTGTGATTTCCATGGGAAGGAGTGGAAGAAGAGTCCTTGTCACAAACAAAATGCAAACTTCTCTTCTACTAAAACTAAAAGATGGAGCTGGCACCTTTTTTAAGCACTGAGGTCTTCAAGGCCATTGCCCAGGAGATACCTGGTGTAGACAGGTGATGGCAGTATAGGGCTCAGCATCATAAGATCTGGCACTGAATTTGCTCCAGTGTACTAAGAGCTGGCTAAAGTGGTGGAAAGGAGGCTCATAACCTACTGCTCAAGACGTGTTGATTAAACTCAAAGTTTACATGGTGTCAAGGAGGACTGGATAATTTAGAAGACCACTGAGGATTACTAAACATACAGAATCTGCATCTGGCTTGGCAAGTTTGAGTTGAAAATGCTTGGAGTCTAAGAACATAGTAAAGAATAGTATCACACACGCTTGCCCTGTTCTTACCTGCTTCTCTAGGGACTTCCTAATGGCCACTGCTGGAATCAGGACACAGATTTGCCTTAATCAACTTCTGTTCTGATCCAGTAAGGCTGTTCTCATATTAAACCCTAAACCCTAGTATCTAACAGCAAATCAATCAACACCACCAACAGACAACATTAATGCTTTCACAATGTGCAGAACAAGGGGAGATACTTGCAGTGTTGTGACAGGAAATGAGAGAGAACAGGAGTGGAGTCCTCTGTCCCATGGTTCCTGATGTCCCCAGGTGTCATGCATGCTGAGAACGCTTGTTCCCACACAGGCCACTGGCCAAGACAGCCTGCTCTGACATGCTGGAGACACACTGGCACTAGGAGGGGAAGCTACATGGAGAAGCCTTGAACCTGTCCTCCACCTCCCCCCAGTCCTATTCCATATTTCCAGCTTCATCTCCCTTTCAACTTGACTCTTTTCCTACCTGAAATGATCCAAGGACAATCTGAAATTTGCTCTGCTGAGTCTGGAGCTCATTCGAAGAAAACAGAAACATTTCCATTTGTTTGATTTGTTTCCATTTGTTAATTTGTTTAATTTGGAATGACTCTGTACAGTGCTTTCCAAGTTAGCATTCAAGGGAAAAGCAGTTCAAGTGTCTTCCCCTAGTGGTTGCGGTTGTTTGTGGGGTAGCAAAGAGAAAGACAATACACTCTCACTCCCAAACTTAATGTACTGATTACAGCTATGTGAAAACATTTGTGCTGGGGGCAAAGACAGCTGAAAAGCCTCGGTAGTTTTGGGAAATACACCAGTAGATATCAATTCACTGGTCTTGCTATGATGAAGGACACTGTTTCCCAGTGCAAACTGCTTTTCCCTTCATTATTAGTTTTAGGACTCTTACGAAGCTTGGTGAAGTGGCGAAGTTCAATTTCAATCCGTAATTGGGCTTGTTTCCTTTTCACATTTGATGCGGTTTTAATAACATTTGTGTACAGTGACTGAGTATCCTAAATTTCCTTGCAGAGCTGAGAAAATACAGTCTCTAGTACTTGATTTTATTCCTGTTCTTAGTGCTTGTTTTGCATTTAAAAGTCTTTTGGAGCCATCTTGGCATTTCAAAAGTGCAGACTGCACTGCCGTCAGAACAATCTTCAAGTTCCTGATACCACCCCCACAGACCCTTGACAAAGTCAATTCACTATAAAGCACCAAAACCATCTCATCCCTAGAGATAGCATTAACGTGCCACTGTTTTCTAGAGAAACAGAGTTTTGATTTTTCGTACTCATGCATTTGTCTTTTCCTCCTAAATATTTAACTAATTTTTCTACTTCAAAAAAAAATGACATCGATTCCTCTTGCTCAGACAGACACTTAGTCATATGTATTTCTGTTGGACTTGGTTCTACCTAGCCATACACTAACTGTTATATTGCATGTTCATTAGTGGCATCTGTGCAAATAAGAGAGAAAAGGAGAAATTTTGCCATCACCAAAGATACTCCATGTTGACTGTATGAAAAAAGGAGCTGAAACGGTTCTTACATTGCAGGCAGAGCCTGCAGGGCAGGATGTCAAAGAAAGCTGTAGCCATTTTTAAAATAAACACCCTTAAACAAAACTATTGAAGACATTAGTTTTTACCCATCATAACACAGAGTTAACTCAATAATAGTTCAGAGAAGCTCAACATGAAATGAGTGTGTGATGTAAAAGGGAACCAATTTAATGTGAAGAGTTAAATCAGACTTTAGTTGATATGTTGCATCAGCTTCTGTTCCTGTTTTTGTCTGGTAATGATTCTCCATTTTAGAAATGCTCCATCTACGGTGTCTGTCTCTTGAAACAAAGGCAAACTGACCACAAGCCAGGGCCAGCACTTAGGCAAGCACTTTGTTGAACATGTGCATGATCTTGCAGCGGGCAGGAGGATACTCATGTGCAACCAAGTTCAGTGTGCTTACCTGTTTGCAAGCTCACTGGGACTCTAACTGAATGCAGCATAATTGCAGAGAAACCAACTATATTCATTCACTATAAAAATGCATGTAGTAAGCATTCTCAGCTCATGCCCTCCTGTGGCTTACCATGAATATGAATCTAACAGTATTGCACCTAAACCAGAGCTTGGCGCAGGCCAGTCCACATTTGTGTGTCTCAGTATCTTTTAAAAATGAAGAATAAAACCACCAGTGAAGTGAGCTGTAGCTACTGCTGAATAATGACAAATACACAATCACTTCATCCTTGCTGAATAAAAGTGCCCCAGAATCCCACAAGGAAGAAAACCTGAACATAATTCTGAAAATTAAAAAAAACTATTCCTAAAATTTGGGGTTTGTTCACACAGTGCAAAAATGCTTACATAGCACTACTGTGGGTTTTCCAGAATTAAGAACACAAGTACCTGTAGCCTCCTCATGGCTTCAGAGTCATGGTCAGCCTTCACTTTGCAAGCCACAAGCAACTGTGCTGTAGAAGCTGCCACTTGTTTGGCAGATGAGATAAGCTTCTCCTCACTAGCATGGCCTTGTACTGAGGCATTAGCAGCTTCACAAAGATTGCTGGTTGCTGCTGCCACCATTCGGGCCTGGGAGACAGTAAAAAATGTCACTGTGTATTCTCACAGGAGATTATTTCTTCAGAGAAGGTGCTAGTTTTCCCCAAGAGAAGTAGTTACTCACAGCAGAAATAAGTCCCTGAGACCACTGTCCATCATCAGCTGCATTTGCAGGGATTGCTCCAACCTGAAAAACAATTCAGAGATGGCTTACAAGGAAACAAAAAAATAAAATTGCTTTGTCACAGATTTAGTTGAAGAGCAATCTATGAAAAAAGAAAAAACCTGCACCCGTGTCTGCATCCAGCACATACAGGTGCAGAAAATCCAACCGAAAGTGAGTTGTCAGAGTAAGTGTGCTTCCAGCATACATCTGCTTGCTCATGTACTGTCCAGCTTGCTATGCTGCTTGAACTACCCCATCTTTGGAACACGTGTGGAAGCCCCAGAGGAATTATTGTTGCAGTTGACACTTGGGCCTAAGCAGCAGCTGAAGCAATAGCTCCTAATCTGGCCTTTAAAATAACATATTTCTGTCTCCACAGCACACCTGGATTTACATAATTACTGAATCTCTTCTGATTCTGACACTATTGGAAGGTACAAAAAAGAAAGCTCCACAGGGAAGCCCCCTAACTGCCTTTGTGCCCAGTAATGGCATTTGAGGAAACCAGCCTCTTTTCCTGCATGGCTCATCCACTGAAGTGTTTGTGGCATTAGCAGCACTGATAACCACCAGGAGACAATTTTCTTCCCATGTCAGATGAAAGTAAGGAAACAAAATTCTACCATTGGTTGCCAGGACCCTCACCCCCAACTGCCTGGGTCTGGGAGTTTTTGGAGGAGAAGCTGGACAATGTGAAATGTAAGCATGATCCAGAAATTTGTTGTATTTCAGAAGAAATGGAGGCAGAGATTTTTGCATAATGAGGATCCCAGGGATCAGAATCAAATCCTTACATGTAGCATCAACATAAATGGATGACGAGTCCTCTCACAGCTATGGTAACACTTTTTGTGTCATGTATAACTGAGAAATCAGTTGTACAAAAGAATACACCAGGTCTCTGAATTCTGTGCATTTCAAGGTCTTTTTGCTCAACCATCCCCACAAAATGCATTTTAACTAGCCCACAGATGCAGGAATTGAGTGTGTGTGCATGTGTGAGCGAGTGAACGGAGGGAGAGTGTGGCCAAAGACAGAACAGATATCCAACTTTCCCGACTTCATCTATAGTGCAGAAATGGAAAAGGTCGCCTAACTTAAAATGAGTTCTTTAATAATAATTCAACAGGGTAAAGTAGTTCCACTTATTTGGTCTGTCATTTTAGAAACCAGCTCCCTGTACTTCTGGCTGACCTGGAGACAGAGGCTACCCAAAGCAGCCAGAGGACAGATATCCCATATTACCTAAGCACTAGTAATTAGTAAAGAAAGAAGGAAAATGGGTTAGCGCTTCATTATTCCAGAAGTATCTTTATTTATTTGTGACAACTGTCATAATGAGAGTATGTGCCACAAACAATTCTGAAGTTTGAAGAGTGATAAAGAGAAATGGCTAAGTTCAGTAAAGCAGGCTGAAGAGATCTGCTAATATGGCACTGTATTTGACAGGTGTGCTTCTATTAGAAGAGCAAGCTACAGCTTTCCTCAAGCAGGCAGATTAAAGTGGTTTTAGCAGTTATCTGAATTTGGATGGAATACGATACAAGTGCTGTTAGCCTCTATCTGAAATACACAGACAGAAATTTATCTGTGGCAGCAAAGAAGCCAAAAACTACTTGAAGGAGATTCAGGGCTGGTACCAGGATAGAAATACATTCTATATTATTCTGTATAATTTCACAGTGGTGGTGGTGAGCAAAGTAAAGCAAGCTGTATGTCATAATGAAACTAGATAAGAACAGGTCTTATCACATAAAAGCAGACTGCACAATAATCAAAGTGAAGCAGGAGAGTAAAAATTCTCATTTTTTGAACTGTCTCCACAGCCAAACAGGTATTAATACTGCCTTGGTTTGCACATTATTGATAAGTTCCATAGCTACAGCTTATAGTGGGGGTTTTCAAACAGTTACATCACTATTGCTCTGAAACAAGTGCTCTGTGCTCCTGCTGGAACTAAAGGCACAAGCTCCCCAGGAATAGTAGCTGAAATAGACAGCATAGTGCTTTTGTGACAGGCTCTATGACACAGTCTGCTCAGGGTTAAAAAAAAATGGATTAAATTGGAAACTATAACTACACCACAATTACCCCATTACAAATTTTTCTCACAGGCCACATATCTGTTTTATGTTCAGATTTTAAGTTTCAAAGTATATTAACGTGGGAAAAAAACCAGTGATGGATATGAAATGAATTACAAAGACCTCAATCCCAACCAGACTGAAAGGATGACATGTTACAAGCACTCTTTTCTTGGTCCCAACAATGAAAATAAGCACTCCACTTAAAAGCACCGAATCAGCATGCAAGCCTGTGTCCCCATTGAATCAGACAAAAACCACATTGAGGGCACAATTAGTGAGGCCCTTTGCTATCCTGGTCCAGAGTGGTATTTTATACTGTGACATTTGTTTTGGGATCCCCAAGCTGTCTTGTTGGACTATACATTGCTAGCTTGAAACACAGATCTTTACAAAATGAAAAAATCAAAACCAAAAATGCAAAAGCTGCCCACAGCTGAAATGTCTGAAGAGCCAAAGACTTCATTACTCTTGCAAGGCTTAAATAAATATAACTGTAGGGATTTTTTAAACAGAACCAGGCTTGGGCCATGTATTGTGAAGAGCAATGAAAAGATTTTCATTTTTGTTAGTCATTCCCAAGCTCCTTGCCTACACTTTTAACAGCGAACAGAGACTAGATTCAGTTTGGACACTTTTCCTGTGTCCTGTTAGTCCTTGCCACTTTACCCACCTTTCCCTGTGCCACCAGTTCTCTCTGGGCTGCTGAAGCTGACTTCACAAGGGCACTGGTAGCAGCTGCAATGGATTTAGCTGCTTCCAGGATCTGTTCTTCGAAATCCAGAGTCTCATCTGCTTGCTATAACCAAGAAAGAACAATGTCAGACATTATTTGCCTGAAAGCAGTTGTATTTTCAAGATTGAGGAAGGATACAAAGTAAGACAGGAAGGTTTTGGAACACATCAGTAAATTCAGTCAGACCTACATTATAATTTTCTGCAAAGGATACTAATGTTGAATAAAGCTAGGAGTCAGCAAAATTAATGTAAATATTGAGTTGTCCTTGTGGCTGCTCACAAATGAAACTGAGTATCAGACAACACACTTGAAGAATTGCCTTTAGCTTCCTAATACATTACCTCCACTACTGCTACTGCATTCAGGAAAGTGCAGGTCTGGAAAGAAATTCTTGGTTTTCCATATCAAGATTATCTTTGTAGTGCTATAATACTGGCTCTCAAGACTGGTAAACTAGGTAGAAGATTTTTCTAACTACTTAAGGACTTAAGGCATTAAAGGAGAGTAGAGATAAATGTATATTGTCTCATTCACCTGTACTAAGAAATATAATGTAGATACCAAGCAAGTGCAAGGCTTTAACAGCTTTTGGTAAGAGCTGTCATTTCACAGAAAGTAGCATTGTGAAGCAGTCCAGTTTAGTCATCCTGGAAACAGGAAGTTCCAAAGGTCTGTCTGGAACATGTCAGTCATCCAAACGTGTCTTTCAACAAGCATGTGCAAACAGTGAGATCAGCTGTTCCTAATGAGGTTTCCTGCTATTTACAATGCAAATCTATTGGTACGTAAAACAACAACTTCCTTGACTTCCTAATAATTGAAATAAATACTGAAAACATGTACCCATTTAAGCACACTTACTAGCTTCTGAACAGTTAACAAAATAGAGATACATGGTTACTGTTATTATAAACAGAATCAGACCTGAGCCAGGTATTCAAACTGCTTTTTACAGAAAATAAACCAAACAGAATGTATATTGTTTGTGATCAAATCACAGGCCCATCAGAAGCCAGTGCAGTATGATAAAAGCAGGGAGTGGATACAATACCATAACAGACAATAACAGAGAAAAGGCTTTTGAAATACAGATTTCTTCCTACTTAGGCAATCACAGCATTCTTGTGTCAAATAACTAACTTTAGGAACCCTAGCAAAGCAGGCTTTGGGTTAGAAAACTGGGCACTTCATCTGCAAGTCTAAGTGCATCCATCTAAATTTCAGTCAGATTTAGTTCTCCTGTTACTGCAGTCTGATAAATAGTAGTCAATTATAAAATAATAAACCATATAAATTATGAGTAATTACAAATCATTATAAAATGGCTCAGTCCTACAGCACCTTATATAACTGTCATGTAACTGAAACAAAGTCCAAGAGATGAAACAGTAGCATCCATAGACATAGACACAGGAAAATGGAATGATCTGAAAATAAGAACTGATATGTAGATGAAGTTGTGTGGCACTTTAAAGTTTTTCTTATCATTTAGAAGCCACCTAATTCAAGGAAAATTGTTTATCTTGTTTCACTGTTGGGCTAATCCTATCAACTGAAGCACAGGTCTTGTAATAAGAGTACAAAAAATTGCTTTGCCAAGTAAGCAAGTCATGTTCCACATGAATTTTTGGCAGTGCTTGCAACGTAACATCATTACCACTATTATCTAAGTGGTAATCACATTGGTCTTGAGTTTATGCAACAGCCCTCAAGTCTTTTTTATAAAACTCTTACTTGAATCATGACATCACAAAAACAAAGTGACTAAATGGAATTCAGTACAATCACTATCAGACTTCTTTTGGTTATTGAAATAGACGTTGTGGTAGACATTGATTTAAATTGACTGAAGACTTAAACTGAATTATCAACTGAAGTACCACTGAATGATAGTTCTTTCAGCGGACCGCTACTGCACTTTTACTTTTAACAGACTGTTATTGCAATTGAACTATTGTCCCTGTTATTGAAAGTTTTTAAGATTTCATTTCCAACACAACAAAATATGTTATGAGTATTATTCTTTGTATGTCGGTATTGTCAGGAGCTCAAACTTAAGCGAGCAAGCATTTCAGTGTCTGCTTATTTATTCTAAAGGAGGCGTTTAATTTGTGAAGTCTAATAAAACCTCCATTGCCATAATCCGATCATCAGACAGCCCAGATGATAACTGGAAAAAAAAACCAAACCAAACCCAAAAAAACCCAAAAAAACCCACAGCCACCAAAAAGGGGCTGAAGAAAAGCTGTTGTTCAAACTCAGTTCAGCAGAGTGAGTGGATCAAATACTGAATGCAAGTGTGAAGCAAAGACAGCTGCTTTCAGAGGGAATGTACAGAAATCAAATCCTGCACCACTGAGGATACTATTGTACAATGGCTGGATTAACTTCCACTGTTGAAGCAGCAGGTAAAACTCAGCAAGCAAGGAGTTAGCTAAACCTTAGCATCTCATCAAATAACAGATTTCCCCCCCCCTCGTGTTCTAAATTAGTTTCTCTTCAATTGTATTGAAATCTGGGGGGTAGGGAGAAGAAAGCACACTCTGAGTTTCTTAAACTTCCAAATCCTACATTTCCTGTCATCAAAAAAGTTTTATTTCTGTAAAAAAAGAATAAAAAAGTTTTTCTATTGACAGTTGATTCCTTCCATGGAGAACGTATTTTTGAAGCAGCCTTACACACTTTATGGAACTTTTGTTAGGTTGTCATCTTTTCTAACAAATCCTTGTTTTCTAGTCCTTCCCTGCAGCTGTCCCTTCAGCATTTTCAGGCTGGAAACTCACGTTTGGAATGGGCAAGTAGGGACAATGGTCAGTCAGTGCTGTGGGTATGTTAAACTGCCGGCACTCTCCAAACCTGGGACTTGCAGCAGTTCAAGACTGAACACAGCAAACCGCCCTACAAGAGCAGTAATTTTTCTGCCCATTCCCATTATTAAAGAGCACGTCCCAAACCGTCTTAAGTTAACACTCATCAACAGCATCCTCAACATTTGTCAGTTCATGGCCTTCATGAACAAAGTTAGGAGCAACGATGTGATAACATGGCAGAAAATATCACCTTGTAAGATTTTAGTTACTTGAGAGGGCTATTTGGGTTTCTTTAGAAAACCAGATCCATGAGACAAGTGATTAGCTGCTCCTTCCTTAGGTAGCCCCCATGAAGTTCAACATCTCTTATTCCACAAGCTTAAACTAGTAAGCCATTATTGACTATGTACAGGTCTAAATGGATTGGAAAATGAAGTCAACAGAACAGAAACTAAAATTAGGCCTGCTACAAAGTCTGTAGTGTGAAATAGCCTGAAAATGTTGTTTGCACCATTAAAAAAAAAATAACTTTGAGATGGTTTTGTACTCTGTTTTAACCAGTTTTCCATAGAATTTCTATTATAAGGTGTAGCATAAAGTCAGAGTTAATAGGAGAACAAATGAGTCCCCAGACTCATTGCCAAACAGTAGGAAAAAAATACGAAAGACAAACCATTTTATTTTAAAGCAGCTCTCATCTTCTTTTAGAAAGAGAAAAGCCAAGATGGGCAAGTTACTGCACTGAGCCATGGAAAACACAATCACCTTTTCAGTGAAAGTCAGTTCTTGGCACAGCTACTGCTCACTGTCTTCAAAGGCCCTGCACAAGTTACAAGTCCCTCTAAGAGCAACTCTACTCATAAAGGAGCCCTTCATGTATGTATTTTAAATAGATTAGATTAGATTAGGAGTCTGCAGGAAGTCTTCTAAATCTGCTTGTGAGTGAATGTACTCCTTCATATTGCCTTCTACTATGTTAAAACCCCCGGAGACAGGGCAGGACACTGTAGGAATATGTTTGATATATAGTTGGATTAAATAACAACCTAATATATCAAACATATCACACAGAGTCCTGCAGAAAAAGGCATCCAGGTTTGATTCATCTTGGGAAAAAGAAAAGGACAAACTGCTGAAAGCTAACAGCAGGGAAGTCTTATTGACTACTAAAGTTTGAAGGTGTAAGCCAGCACAGAAGCATGAAGAGCATATCAACAGAGTTGGGTAGATACAGCAATGCTCTCTGCTGTTGTACCTAAACTACCATACCTCTTTTTTTTTTACAAGTGTTCTTTTTCCAGTATTAGTGAAGCATCTAGGTTTTATTAGACAAAATGTTTTCATTCCAAAAAAAAAAAAATTACTAATTTTGAGGGGTTGTTATTTTACAGCCAGTGACATATTTACATAACAGGAGGAGTATGTGGCTGCACTGCAAGACAACTGACCCTCCAAAAATGGAAAACATTAAAAAAGAGTCCACACTCAGAAACAGCCAAAATTTGCTTAATAGACATTCAAGATCTCATTGCTTTGCAGATCATTCTCCACCTTGAACACTGCAATGAGAATACTGAACAGGTTTTGTGTTTTGGGGAGGAGTAACAACACCTGCTTTAGGATAGGTCTTAAAGTGCTTGAACATAAAAGCTCAGAAGAAAGATGGATATGAAGAGGGTATCCATGGGGCAGTGAACTAGCGGAATAAGCATTTCAGGAGCACATTCACCAGCAGCCAAATGACCAGGATTTAAAGCAAACAGAATATGCATCATACAACAAAACACGGGCACCAGTTGGCAGGCCTGTGTCTTATTAGAGATTTTTCTCTGGGATATGACAATTCCCAGTAGTGAAAAAATGAAGACATCTCACGCTACTGGTCTCAGTCTGAGACATCAGGGGGGTACGATAGGTGCAAAAATGTGCAAACAAGGAAAAGAAGTAAAAATAAAATAAGAATACGTCCAAAAAATTAAGATAGTGGAACAACTGAGAATAAAACTCTACCTTCAACTAATGTGTTTTTTTTTTTTTTTCTTCTGTAAAGGAAACAAACTAACACACAAAGGTGAAAATTTCAAGCCTAAATCAAATTACTCCCACTCCCTGCCCCAGCGAGAGAAGCTTACCCAAAAAGAGTCAGCTACCAATTAATAATGATGAAGATGATGGATCTCCTGCAGGAAGATTATTCTAAAATTACTAACTAAGGATTTCTCTGCAAGTTCCCTTGATGATGATTATTGTTAACCAAAGCAGGATATTGGTCTAGCTTGGCCAGTGGTCCATTCCATTGCAGATGATAGCTAAGATTCTTGCCTTTCTGAGACTAAGGATAAGCAAAATCAGTTGTATCAACCCTCTTACCTAGTCTAGGCATTCACACTACAACATGATGTATGTTGTCACAGAGAAGTGTCAGAAAGGCAGAGATGGACCAAAGCAGAAAATTCTATTCTAGGAGTTACAAATACTACTCAGAAAGAGTGGTATTTGAGCCACTCTGAGATCTTCCTAGTACTTTTGCTCAGCATTACAATCCATATTGTGAAAGGGATTAAATGCCTAATAAAGGACGTAAAGGCTGTTTAAAGCCCAAATTAAACTAACAGTTGGATCTGAATTTTAGTTTCAGCAAACGACAAACAGATTGACAAATAAATCAGAGGCAAATTGGACACTCAGAATAACACATTAAATGAGGAGCAGGTATGAGGTCTGTATTCACTGGGAAATCACAATGACTCTGGAGTGGCTCAGAGCTTGGAAGGAAATGGCGCCATGGTTACTAGGCAACCCACATATGCTATTGTGCAGTGAGGGTGTAGAAAAGGTGATGGAGGACTCTTCCTCTCCTCAGACTCAGCCTGTGTCCTCTGCTCTGCAGAATCTCATTATAAAGGACCATTTTTCTTTATTAAAAAAATGGATGTACTTGCTAAAAAATGCTGGACAAAGAGCATTTCTTTTTCATGAGCTAATTTATCCCCCTCACCAAGTGGGGGTTGTGGGAGTGGGAAGTCCTCAAAGAGCAGAGCTACCAAGAACTACTTCATCTGATGTTCCTGAATGAGAAAATCATCCTACACCAAATAAAACCACCCAACACTGAATGTTCTTGAAGCCCTGCTTTTTAGAAACATTAGAAAGACTTCTCATTAGCTTCACTTAGAAAACAGTTTTGCACCTACCAGCAGCATGAACAGGGAAGCAGATACATAGTCCTTTCCTGAAGTCTATTACACAGACAATGCATTATTTTCTTTTTAAAGAAATGCAATTCATACAACATAATAATTTCCTCCAAAACCTGCCGGTTATTCCACGCTAGGCAAAAGGTAGCAATTCTCTGTGATCCAGCCTTGTGAGCTATGCATACAACCATAAGTAACAGTAGTTTCATATATTCTATCAGTACCACGTATGAAAATCGTTGGCTTAATTTTATGTAACGCATTCAGAGACACGTTTGAAACGACCTGGCAACAGGCAACACTACCTGCCTTCATAATGAACTGGAATTCATTTTCCTTCAGGGAAATTAAACAGAAACTGACATACCCCATATCTGATTGATACTGAAGCACCTACTCTTTTAGCATGGCATAAAATGACATGTTTTTAATCTTAGAAAATCACAAAGGCCTTCTGCATTCTGTGTTGCTGCTGCTGCTTTCTCCTGCTATTCTACACACATTCAGATGAGCACAGAGGGTCTTCAAAGGAAAGTGAGAATGACTTTTCACATCAGTAAAATATATTTGGAAACAGAATAATACAAATCCACAGTAGTGATATTGTATCTCTTTAAAGCATTTCTAACATTTGGGTTTTCTTCCTTTGCTTGCTCATGGCTGGGGCTTCACTCACTCCCTGAAAATCATCTTTCTTTACCCTCTTCCTTCAGGGGTCAGTCACATCCAATACAGTGTCTAGTGGCACTGAGACTGATGCAAGGTTTGATAGTTTATGCCATTATTGCGGACAGTAACAAAATCTACACCAATGCATGGGCTATATGCATCTTTTGCTTTAATAACTTGAAAGAAACAATGGGGATGGACACTCACCTTTGGCTTGGCTCTTGGTTTCAGCTGCTCTAACTTCTTTGCTGCAGCCTCAATTGATGCTGCAGCTCCTAGTAGCTCTGTCTCCGCAATGACTGTTGGGTCTTCTGGATCCACCCATTCTGTCCCTGAAATCAGTGGAGATGAAGACAATAACTTCAGTGCCAGTGAGCTGCCATTCAAACAGGGTGATTACAACCACGGTTCAAGAGTCAAATATGGAATGCACATCATAGAAACCTGATTTTAGTACCATAATGGCATAACAACACTGTAGTTTGCACTGAGAGCAAAACATAATTCAGAGTGAATAAAAGTATTTAGAAGGTTTATTATATTTTTAAAGTAACTTAATTAAGGACTGTGTAGGCAAAGCAGCCTCAAAAAGGGATACTATCCATACTGGGAACAAAACTATCTGTCACTCAACTTTAGTTTATCAGAGGTCTTACTAAGATGGTTTCTAACTTGACCAAGTTGTAAAGGTACATTGAGAATTCTGAGAGAGTGGTAAAGAGAATATGTTACAGACAACAGATAATCACCCACCACATGCTTTTCAAAGTAGTTTCTGTAACATATCCAAAGGTCAGCTTTTTTTTTTTTTTTTTTTTTTTGTTGTTAAGTTTTTGCCACTTCTCTTAGCTCAAAGAGATGTGGTAGGTCCACAAAAAAATACATGGCTGGAGGTGATCTCAGATTTTTGAAAGCTCTCAGTACATCATTATTTTCAATTCCATCACATTATTCTCTAGATGCCACGATTCAGAAAGCATCCACTGTTCTGGAGTGAAGAAAGCAATGAAACAGCCAAAAGGAAAATGAGATGGAGAGAGATAAGGAAACCAGAAAGGAAACTTATAATTTCATAACTAGTAAGGGCAAGGAGAGGAAGTAGCATCACAGATAGAAACAGAAGAATATAGGAAACACTGTATCCTAGACAAAGGAAGACTAAGCTAGAATGAAAAAAACAACAGGGAAGAAAAATATCTCTTAAGGCGTTGTTAAACTTAATTGAAACTGGATCAGAAAGTTTGGGTGAATCTAATATTAAAATATTAACTGAAATATTAACTGTTATTAAGGAAGAGTGACTGGGGAGAAGGATACTGGCACTATGCATCAAGAATAGCATAACCCATGTTTGATTCATCAAACATCAAAGGAAATAACCTCGAAAGCTTATGGATCAACATTGCAGCTGCTATGGATGACCAAATCAGAGAAAAATACAAACTGACTGGCTCCTATTTATTATGTGGTGGTAGCAAGCTGAAGTACATGGTACTGTAATCCTAGTGAGCTACATTTCATGCTGATAAACCCTATATAGTATGTATATATGAATTTTTAACAAATATCAAAGATTACCCAAGAAAATTTCTCAGCTCAAATAGTGTACAGGATAAGGAATAGTATGTTAAACCCTAATATTAGCAGACAAGCAGGGAAAAAATATTTTTATGTAGGCAGCATGTATATACCCAGTCAAACCAAATTTGTAAAACATAGCAGTTCCTCTTAAAAAAAAGGCTTTTCACAGAGATGAAAACATTTACATGCTACATTGGTTATAAGAAAGAATTTTATCTTCTATCCATAAACGAAAATCAGGAACAAAAATTTGGAATGGTTCAAACTCCTTTCACTTTCCACAAAAAAGCTTCTAAAGTGAATAATAAAAAACCAAGTCCCTACAGGAATTAAGTGAAAAAAGAAATTAAAAGTAACTTTTTGTTTTAATGAATATCAATTAAAATGCAAAAACTACTGGAAAGTAATAAATATCTCCAAAGATGAGGGCATAATTTTTAAAAAGTATTTAGGGAACAGAAAAATTCTGATATTGGCTTGGCTTGTTAGCAAATGAAAGCAGCAATTTGCAAACTTCAGAACAGGTGCATAAAAAGTTGAAGAACTCAATAAATTTGCCTGAACAGGAAAAAAGCATAATGTAGATCACTGTTTCTTTAGACTGAAGTTCAGAGTAAATCTACTAGTAGATGTGCTTAGCAGCAGTGGTATATCTAATAATACCACTGTTAATATATACTCATCTCATTTCAAACAGTGAACGATGGAACTGTCATCCAAGAGTTCACATGCATCACTGGATAAAAACTTTCCTATGGAAATCACTGTCTGAGAAAAATATCACTCATATGAAGGCAGGGAACTTCTGCAAAGCAATGGAGTTCACTGCTTATTTGAGTGCTGAATTATATTTGCCTACAAGTTGTTCATTTCTACGAGTTCAGGAAATCATCCAGACCACAGTTCTCTGAAGTCTCCCCTTTTATTTGAAGTTGGAAAGCAACTATCGCTGCAATGCAAAGGCCTTATTTTGATTGAACAAACATGAGTGTAAGGGAAGGAATCAGCCATCCAATTGTAATTCGTCCAACAGTGCAAGAGAAGAGATACTGTATTTTGCTTTCTGCTACTGCGGCTCTTGAGTGGTCTGCTTGGTGGTTCCACCTTCTATGATCTTAAGAGTTTTTTTCCAACCAGAATGTTTCTACGATTCTGTGATTTACAGATGACTTATGACTGATCCTATGAATTGAAAAAGGGTTAAAAAGTCCTGTTTACCAACAATATGAACCACTGAATACCAGTAGAGAACTTAAAAGAATGGAAGTAGGTGGTACCAAGATACCTAGAACATACAGAAAGGGATCTTGTGTTAAACTACAGAAATGACAGATGATGATCTCTGGAATGAAAGGCACCCTGCACTGGTAGTCACACTGCCCAGCTCACCTTTCATGGCTTCTGCTGACTGGATGAGCTCTGTAACAGCACCAGCAACACGCTTGGAGAAAGAGGCCAGCTGATGTTTTAGTTCTGGCGTCGGTTTTTGAAGGATCTAGAGAAAGAGATAAAATATAATAATGCACACAAGTAAGGATTCCAGAGAATGCTGGAATATTCTCAAGGCACATTACTGAAAGATTTATTTCATACAGCAATTGGCTGACATCACTCCAGTGAGAGACATAGTGCTGTTAATGAATCACTAGTAAAGGCTTACCCTGCAATGTCTGATGCATACTAGGAAAGTGGCACTGCCTTGCATTTCTACAGGGCCTGGCAACGTTGCCTGGAAGTTTTCAGTACTAAAACTAGGACAGAATTCTCTAAAACAGAGGCATGTATGTAACTAGGTAGGAGGAATATGCAGCTTCAGCACTCCACTCTGAGATATTATAGTCCTTACACTTATGCATCAGGCTTAGGCTTTCTAAAGAGAGGAGAGTAGCTGATTTTCAAGTATGAACAGAGGAGTTGGTCACTCTTTCTAAGCAGCAGAATTGCAGAGTTCTGCAACCTAGTGCCAGTTACCTGTTCTGGGAGAGAAATCATCAATGGTGAAGCCAACCCTGGGCAAGATGCTTAAATAGAAGGGGAAGAAAGACACCTCTGAACTGAATTTGCATGAAGTATTAAACTGTGCTTCTTCAAGTGGAAAACAGACATGTTAATATTGAAGTTGAATTCTTTCCCTGAATAGGAACATTTGCATTTTTAATGACCATATTGCAAGAAGAAAAAATATAAAGTTCTAGAAATTCATGTATAGTCAAAAACTACTTCTGAGAGTGACAAATATATAGAGAGATTTAAGAGCAAACCAAGAGGTTGAGTCTCAAAAGTCACATGCAGGTGTGCATTTTCTTAATATTTTCCAAAACTCCCTTACTAAGCAGCTCTGAAAACTAGGTGTACTTTGAAAATACATTTTATTGTTCTGTGTTTCCCATTTTGTTGTCAAAAGCCTAACCCCTTACTTTGACAGAATAAATGATGTTTAATTCTTTCTTAACTTTGCCTGATGAGAACTCTGCCATGTGAGGAATTCTATCTCCCTGGACTTGCCACATCTGCATATGGGTGCACTGGTCTCCTGCTTCCCAAGGATAAGCTTTAATCAACTAGTTTCCACAGTAAACAGCAAATACATAAATCTTCCACAGCTGAACAATCTGCAATGCTGACAAATCGTCACAACAGAGTTATAACCAGGGTTCATACACTGCACCATCCCCCTTAGTATGGCAGAAATTGAGCACTGAGCATCTCAAGAGTTATCTTCCCACAAAAGCAAGAATGTCAAAAAATGGCATTTTCTGCTTCAGCAACTGTGACACTAGTGCTACCTACGATAGTGGTGACAATGTTGGAACTGAACAAATGGATGCAAATTTTAAATCTAGGCAGTTTACAAACCGCATTGTTTTAAAGCTAATTTAGAACTCGCAGCAGATTCTCATCCCCTGCAGAGTCATGTACGTGCATGGCACAAGAACAATGACAAAAGCTTCAGATGTCCCCTTAACTCAGCATGCATCAATACTGACCAAGATGGAGCATATGAATAAGCAGGAAGGCAGATCAGTCTTTAACCTTGCTAAGAAAACAACTCAAGTTGTTTTAAAAGAATTTGTGCATGCCCAACAGCTTTAGCAGGTTCCTGCACCCTGCCCCTAGCAAGGCTGCAGGAATATTCCTCTGAGCACCCAAGTCAGTGCTGTGCCACTTGTCCAGTGCAACCTCTGTACAAGTCATTACAGTAGCTTAAGAAATCTTAGACATTACATCTGAACAACCTTGCACCTAAAAAGTATCATAGAATAATTTAAAAGAAACACAGCTGCTGAATAGTACTCTTTGACATCCCTGTGTTGAGACACCCATGCAATCATCCCTAGCCTTACTACTGAGGGCATAATTGTACTTACTAACAACTGTAACACAAGGTGCTGTGTGGACTAATTAGAGATTTCTAATCTGAAATGATCCACATTTCTGGAGACAATGGCATAGTAGACCAAAGGGTTCTAAACTACTGGAGTATCAGGGATCAGAGGTTAACAGGATTGTCCCACATGGCACTCATCTTGCTATCATTTTCTTCTACCTAAGCCAAAGAACTCTGAGCTAGGATTTTAGGTTAGCAAGATTGTGTACAGCAGGAACAGCTCAGGTAACCACAGAACAAGCAAACAAATCACTGAGATTACACTGAGACTGTGTCTCTGACACAACTCCCAGAAGTTAGAACTTGGGGGAAAGAGGGTGAAAGTCACTAGAACAAAAAGTCTGTAATTTACTTGGTTCAATGCTCCTTTGAAAGTGACCTTTTTTCCATCTGTTTTCCAGATAACGCATACATTTATGTGACTAGTTCTAGACAGGCTTCAGCAAAGACTCAAGAGGAAGTTCAATTCCATGTATCTCTTTTTTTCATGCAGGCGGTATGCTTTTCTATTGTGGCTGTAATCTGGGTCAGAGTCAGTTTTCTTAAGGCAGCAAACACTGAGGGGGGTGAGGTGGGTAAGTTTCTCATGACTTTAGGGCCCTGAAATTAAAGCAGCTTAAGGTAAATTTACTTTACTCTTTACTCCTTCAGTAAAGGGGAACAAACCTTTCTACCTTAAGCCTGTTTACCTAAGCAGAGAGGAAAAAATAACATGAGGAAAAACTGACTCAAGTCTGTGGTCTCTTCTTGCATATATATTATAGAAGAAGTACTATGACTGAGTTCAGGAGACCAAATCTGAAAAATTCCCTGAAGTACTTCTAAACTAAAAATGAATCACACATCTAATGCTAAGTTACTGCTATGGAGCTCTAAGAATTACATTAACAAGTTCAATCTCTCTCGAAGTATTTTCCCTGCTAGTGGCAAGAATAACTGTGACTTAACTTATACCCTAAGTATACTTCAACGACTTCATATAAATGATTAGACATGCTGCATTCTCAGCCGTAGAGCTGACTTTGATTTGCTAATCGCAATTAGTGGCTGCAAATTTCAGTTTCAGAGACTGTAATATGTGAGCTTAATGCCACTTAAAATAAAACTCTGGGTGTCCATGAAGCTGAATGCTGATTTAAGTCACCTCTGGAAACTTCAGTAGCTCACAAATCCAAACTGAAAGTCACATTATGTCTTCCTACAAATGTAATAGCAACCGAAGAACAATATATTATGTGATAATTATTGTACTGTCAAGAAAAGTCAACAGGATTCATGAGTTCGGATTGGAGTAGAGAAGTTTTATGTAGAGCTTTGGGGGTATCGTGTCTGGTATGAGTTGGACAGCTCTTTGCGAGGCAGTGCTGGCTTGGGGTTTTGGGATGGCATGGAGAAGGTACCTTTTATTTTCCTGGAATGAGGACTGCAAAAGTCATGTAAAAGTGCTTTCATAAAGACTGCATAACCTCTTTGGTCTGGGGGACAGGAGTTTGCCTAGTATGTCTAATGCGTACCATGGGCTTAAAAGAATGTTGAATTATTTAAATTTTTCTGTCAGGGACCATTTTTAGGTCAGGACCTGTATTGCCTTCAGATCTGATCCAGAATCTGAATTTTGTATTTAAGAATCCCATTTAAGTACTTCCAGTTTTCCTTCTGTCTCAGAGTTTTGAGCTGAAGTACTGAGTTTACTTTAGCTTGCTTTTTCCGAGTAACAAAATTGTTCATAATCTTCTGACAAAATGATAAACGTGTCACTAGAAGGCACTATAAAAGGGGTCAGAGAGATTATTCTCCTTGGAAGTATGTGTAAGCACTTGCACATACCAGGAGAACATGTTCCAGGAGTTCCAGGTATCCCAGGGTACATTCTGTTCCAAAGCGCAGGGCTCTCTCTCGAACTTCGTCACTCACATCTGGATGATATGATGCTTGCTGAGGAGGCAAAACAACGTTAATGCCCCAAAACTGCTTCCACAAGAGGAGGTCAACCCAGAGAAGACAGAAGAAAGAGAAGGGGAGAGATTTTCCCAAAGAGGCAGATGCCCTCTGAGTCCAGGGGCCAGCCGTCCCCATTGGACAGGTGTAAGCACGCTATGCGGCTGCGCTCCGGCTGGATAAAGGCACTGGCAACCCTCGTCCTTCCATCAACACACCTCCTGGCTGGGAGTGCACCTGCAGTCTTTCTTAGTGTCTTCCCTCACGTGTTGTCAGCAGTATTACTGCTTCTTTCTGACAGCTGAGAACAAACACAGAAAGCCTTGAGGAACAATTCAAAAATACAGGAGCATTTATGATTTCTTCTAGTGAAAATGTATCATGTGGAAAACACCTTGGGGCTGGAATGGGCTCTTGGGTTGCATACATACTGTTGTACACTGTAAAGGTTATTGCTACAGTGGCTTTTCTTTTTTACTAGTACCAACACAAAAGCACAGATTTCTCACTCACAAATGGCTATTTAAATCTTCCGGGTTAGAAATACGCTAGACCCAGTTTTTTATTGTAAGACTGTACAGTCTACCATCATGGAATGAAAGCAGAACCAAAGCACTGGCCTGGCCCCACGAGACTTTGGGCCAACATAAGTCAACCATCAGCCCAGTGTGTCAGTCAAGTGTGGATCTCTCACTTTTCCTTATCCATTCTGCAAGTAAAGACAATAACTTGGTCCTTACAAAAAGCTTTGGAAATGGCACATGCAAAGTGCTATGGAAGTGCCAAGATATAATTATTCTACACGAGAGAGACAAAACAAATCAACCTACTTAAGTGCTGGGGTCTAAACCCCCAGCCCTGAATGAGGGTTGGCATATGGATGATGCCCACAACCAGGCAAGAAAGACCCTCCTGATTGGTTTTCACCCAGGGTCTGGCCAGCCTTGGGTGGGAACTAATGAGGAGATCACCACCAGGTGCCCCCACCTTGCACATGGACTTGGAGGTGGGGCAAGAAGCCACCTCTATTAGGGCTGACTCTGCTTGCAGGGGGGTTGGGAGGCCTGCCCACACAGTGCATGTGCTGTGTGGGGGTTCTGGCTATCAAAAGGACTCCCCAACTCTTCACGGCAAGCGGAGTCCCCAGGATGGCAGGGCCAGAACATGAAGCTGTCTCCGAGTCCCTACTGGGCTCAGGGCCTGGCTGCCACCATCACCCACGGCCTGGCTCCTTTCCCACATCGCTCCCTTCTTTGTGACCACTGCGGTGGGTGAGTGTGGAGGGACTTGTGCCTCCCTCTGGTCGTCCGGCAGTTGGGATCTCTGGTGGACCATGTGGGAGCAGAGGGAGGATTTTGGCTGCTGGCCTGCCCGTTCATGATAATATCATTCTATTATCGGGCAAGTGGTCTGCAGAAGACCTACCCAGTCAAAAAAAAATAGGGTTAGCTGCTTTTTGTTATCAGGCAACACATAAGTAAAAGCTTATTAATGGCTTTAGCTTGCCATAGGGACTTAGCACAGCAAGAGGCAGTGCTGAAACCATCCATTTAAATACGGCAGCAGCAGCACAGTCAGTTCTTTGACTTCTTAGAGATTTCCAGTAAGTATGATGTCTGACATGACATAAGCCTGACTAATTAAACCATTTTATTTTTAATAAAAAGTGAAAACTGCAGCCTTCTCAAGCTTTGTGTTTTCTAAAATAAACTTCTAGGGAACTTTTTTATTGAACAGAAGTGCTAGTTGTTAACAAGTGAAATGTCCTAAAAATCTTAAATATTAGCATTTCCTCTCACAAAACAACTCCTTCCACCATTACAGCCTTGTATCTTTCATAGGGTCTGGGGATAATCTCACTGCTTTGTTAGTTTGAGCCCTTCCTGCAACCTGACCACCCTGAGCAAGCGCTGTGGTCCGCTGGGCCCGAACTGTCTACGGGTTCCCCCTGCTGCGACATTCAATGTCAGCCGAGCAGGGAATGGCTCTGAGAGCCACCTCCATCTCTGCATCTTGTCAACAAATTATCTGAAGGGAAAGAAGATGGGAGGAAATACGATAGGATTTCCCCATGTTCAGCATACTTCCAATAAGCTCCAGAAGCCCCCAAAAATCCAGAGCACCCTATTTTTCATTTTCAAATAGGGCAGAAGGATTGCCCTGTGTTTTATATGGATACATTGTAAGCACCCTAATATGCCTCTTCTGCATTTTAATGCTATTGTTACCAGACAATTAGAACAAGCATCTGTAGAAGAGAAACAAACTTCATTTTATGCTTTGCATACATCACCAAGACCGAGTGGAATATTTTGGGAACATTGTTAAGGTTCAATGAGTCTTAAACAATATACTTAACAGTAGACTAAAGAGATGACACAGTCATTTTAGGAAGACATTTTTGTAACCTGGAAACATCCCAACAGAAATCTCACTGTACCAGTTAGGACTCACAACAGAAATGCTTACTTTTCCAGGCTTGCAGAGAAAGCCTGCCAAAGCATCTCAAATTGAAATGTGTCTGGAAAACCAGAACACACATTGATTTCCTCATGCCAATGCTTCTCTTCCCCATCAGCCCTCATTTTCTCTTGTGTGCTTTCAAAATAGTAAGGCAGCAAGCAGTACATGACTCTAGTACTATAACTTCGAGCCCCTTGAGCACTGATACATAACATACGGAAACAAAATGTATTGAGATAGTTAAAAAGTCAGTGCTGTTTGAAGAAACCTGGAGAATTCACACAGTCCAGCCTCCTGACTAAAGATGGGTCAACATGAAATTCAAACCAGACCATGTAGGTCTTTGAAAACCTCCAAAGACAGAGATTTCATATCCTCTTTAGGCCTCTGTCCCAATGCTTAATTATGGTTAAATAATTGGAAGTTCTTTTGTTTCAGCTTTTGACCATTGTGTTTTGTTCCTCTGTCATGCACTGCAGGTAAATAGCCCAACGCTGTCTACTCTCAGCAATCTCCTGGTAGGTTTTGGAGAGCTCCTGTGAGGCCTTAAAAGCTGTCTCTTTTCAAGGCTAAAGAGGCAGTTCTTCAGCATCTCCTCACAGGGCCCAGCTGCCTGGGTGGGCTCTGCTGAGCTTGCTCCAGTTTAATCAGTGCCTTTCCTCTTTTGGAAGCCTTTCCAGTCTAGAATACTGGACACAGTACTTTAGATGCTGAGAAAAGGTCAATTACTGTTTCCCTCAATCTACCCAGCCATGTAACAATCTAAGCCACTATTCACCTCAATTACTTTCTGTGCTTTTTGAGAGACCTTCCATACCTGTTTCCTTTCCAACAGGAATCATTAAAAATAGTGATATTATGCACAGGTTACTTACTGCGTAGCCATCATAAAAACAAGTAGTAAAGATAAATTCTTATTATCTAACTTCCAGTAAATGTAATTACAGTGTTTCTACTGACTTTAATAAGAGTTGTCTTGGTTCACCATATCCGACAGTAATCAACCTTATTGTCTTTTGAAATAGCATCTACTTATAAGCATAGAATTAATAGTGAGCATTGTAAACTCATGTATTCAGAACAAGCAGTAGCAATTATAGGTATGTTTCTAAGTAGCAATCCCTTATACTCCTTGCCTTAGGCAGCTGGCAATGAAACAGAACTTAAATTTAAATTCCTGACACCAGGGAAGTCCGAGCTATGTTCCATACAATTTTACCATAGCTCGTATACATGCAGTTTTGTCTTAGCCCAAAGGACATAAAAATCTGATTATCTGCCAGTGGTTATTGTACAGACTAGCCTGATCACACTGTAAACCCTCCAGTATTTGTCAAATATCACAACAGCCAAGCTGGACTGCATTGCACAGTGTTTACAGCACAGTGAGGCTAAGACTGCTGTTCCTACGCCTGTAGTTCAAGGGATGCGGCTTATCATGGAAGTATCATGTATAGTAACCAATTTCTATAAATTAGTGTCATAAGATTTCTAAAGCTCTGAACAACATCTATAGAAACAGGGTTTTCTACATAAAGTCTGTTACAAACTGTATATTTAAAAGCTTTGTTAAATGACATGGCAGTTTTGTCATACATTTTAGACACTGCATAAAATTAGTATACTTGAAGTCTTTTATTCCTGTTTGCCCAGTAACTGCTCTTGATTTTAGGGAAACTAGCAAGGTAAAACTAGATTGTACTCCATGTAAGTGGATTGCTACAGGTAAGCAGAATGATTCGCAGACATTCCCCTTATGTGGATTGCTTGCTTTGTGAAGGTGGTAATTCCCTGGGAGATCATGGATGCTCTTCCAGCATCCCAGACCTCCACTGTTCAGTTTGCAGGAAGTTTCACCCTGTTGGCCACCTGCTATGCATGAACTCCAAAACCATTAAATTATCTGGGAGCAAATGTAAACCTAAAAAAAATGAATGTTCATAATAAAATGTTCAAAATTATACATCAGGCCGCATATTATGTATGTGATTGTGTTTATGATATTTTTTGAAGCAGTGGGTTCCGTTCTTGAGAATTTGCTGCCTTTTTGAAGAGAATAAGACAAAAAGGTGTCTGCACTAGCTACTTCCAAATGATGAAGGATGTTTAGCATGCCTCAGCACCTGAATTCCTGCCTGAATTGATTTGTCAGAATGTTGCACAACTAACTATGAACTGTTCTGAGTGTCCCTTAGAAGTTTCCATTAACTGGATTGTACCTAAGATGTATTAAGCTGCAATAACTGTCATGTAAGTAGCACAGTTGTTTAATTTTCCCATGAAGATTAAAGCTGCTTTCTTTTGTTGACCTTCTGAGATTATGAAGTGGAGCGGACAGGATCAAAATTTGAAACATGAAAGGTAGTCAAAATCTGCCAGACACTAAAAAAACCTGTCAGAAAATTAAGTCAAAATCAAAAGTTTCATTCAACTGTTTTGTATAAATCCAGTTCTAAGCTATATTAGAACTTGCACTTTTATACAGCCATCATTTTAAAACCAAAATTAACTTTTCCACCTGGGCAGTATTAGGCTAAAAATTAATCTGGGACTGACTCAGGCAGTTAGGATTTGACCAAATTAAAATCATAAAAATAAGACATCTCACAGACAGCACCATTATCTTACTGCAAATTTTGCGGCCATCTTCCATACATGTAAAGGCCAAAGTAAATAAATATAATTTACAGGCAAAGGCACTTTCGTGTTACTACTGAAGACCACATGGAACAAAATTCCTTTTTAAAAAATCTCTATTTTTTTTATCATCAGAATGAAGGCAAACATCTTAATATGAGACATACTTTTCCCCCAGTTTTGGAGGTCAGTTTTTGAAAGTTGTCTAGCTCAAAGAAGTGTAGAAAAGAAAGTACTTCTAAAGGTACTTTTAAAGTGTTTTTAAGTGTAGAAAAGAAGGTATTTTTAAAGAGGATATCTTTAGTGAAAAGCAAAATACATTTTTGAAAAGCACAGAAGAAACTGATCAAACCAACAGGTTTCATTATGGGGGGGAAGGAATACTGAAAGTAGACCTGAGTGATTCCTTTCCCCATTCCTTTCACTGTTTCTAGAAACAGTAAAATCATATTTGTTACCATAGGATTATTTTTATATTCTACTATCTGCACAGATTTTTGTCTTCCGGTTTAGTAGGAGACTGAAAAATAGGAAATTTCAGGTCAAATAAAATAATTTTCACAAGAAAATAGTCAATATTTTGTGCATAGCACAGAAAAATCCTCAGAGAGACATTCCCTTAAAATTATCATAACCATTACCTTTCTAATCTTAAAAGCAGAGCATTAATACAAAGAAACTAACATAAATGAAAACATTGAAGGGATTTAGAGGCACGCAGCAAGATAAATTGAGTCTTAGGCAAGGAAGTGAATCTTTACCTTACAAGCTGTTAGCATGTCAGCAACTGCTTTGCGGCTCAGGTTTGCCGTAGCAATCACATCCTCCTGTCTGCATGAGTTCCCAGCTGCAACAGCTTTGGCAGTTGCCATGGTGATTCCTTTCGTCATCCGAATTGATTCTTCAGGTGATGATGTCTTTTCTGGAACCTCGCTCGACTGAAAGACCTAAAAGTGAAAGCAGAAGGAAAGCCTGAGATACCATTCAAATCAAAGCAGAAGAACCATAAGAAAGAGGCAGCACATGGAAGCGGCCTTTGGACAGCAGGAAATCAGAAACATTCCGAGTACTTGAATATCATTCTTGCTTGCAATGAACCTGGTCCTGAGAAGCCTGCTCACCTACAGACGCAGAAAGAAACAATAAGCTGAGGGAAGCATACCAAAAAAGGTTAACCAATCCATCTCATCTGCCATTTAACTGACTGGATGACGGTTTGTTACAAACAGCTGTTCACAGTGTTACAGGATCAAAAGAATTACTGTGCCTTTAATTATGTTCTGTTTTCATCCTGACTGCTGCTCAGGCTGGTCTGCTCACACAAGGAGATCCTTCCCCTGTAAAGACTGGGCCCTATCAAGCCCTTGTTGACAGCACAGTGCAGGACAGACTAAGAACATCCTTGAAATATTAAAATATCTCTTAAAAAAGTAGAGGTGAGGTGTAGCCTCTTATGCTGTGCTTGGTCTCCCTCAGAAATCTAAAGACATAACTTTGCAGGATGAAGCATACAAAAATAGTACGAATTATCTGACAGTACACACTACTCCCATGAATACTGGAAAGCATGAACTGTGCTAAAGTGTAGGTATTAAGAGACAGTCACTTTTATATTTCCTTGTCCTAAGCTTTAGTCTGTATTTGCTTGCCACTCTTTTACTGTGCAGGAGCATTTTGGAATGCACAATTCATCGTGAGAGCTTTCTGAACACACAGTGCAACCTAAGCAGGCTAGTGGTTACAGAATACAAATATCTGGACAAAATTGAGCCTGGCCTATCCTCACTTCCTCTCTCCAGAAACAGAAGCAATGTTAAAAAATAAAGTCTAGTTAGATATGCAAAGGACATCCCTCAGTGTTGCTGAGCTTCAGTCCCTGGAGTTCTAAGTCAAGCCTGATGCATTTTCTTGAGCGCATACGTGCCACCCTTGGTTCCCCTCAATGTTCTTCTAGTATTACACCTTTCTCCCCATTAAAGAGATGACAACGACACAGCCACAGACCCATTCCTTAGCAATGCTGACAAAAGGAAAATAAAAAGATGATAAACATTCCTAAGATATACCAACCAGACAGAGAAAACAGATGTGATAATACACAGAGTTATGGGACGGAACATAACTTAGCCAGACCCTCATGCGACTACGTGACTGTAACATGCACTGGATATTGTACAGAACATTCCTCATCGGGTACTGAATCAGGAGATTTTACCCCTGCAAACACTGTATGAATCCCCAACAACTATATAAAGGTATAAAAAAACAACCAACCAATCAGCCAAATAAAAAAAAAACCAAAACAAACAACAAAACCCACCACGACAAAATAAAGAAAACAAGAGTCATTTCTTCATTAGAACAGCATCACTCACACAAAAAATAAGTGTTTTATGGAGTGTGCTTGACAAGGCAAAACTGCAGTTACACTTTAAGAATCGCTAATTCACAAACTAGACAACAAAATAGTTTCTGCTGAAGGCTGTATCTGTAGCTTTTTTTATAAGAATGGATTGTAAGTAAAGGAAGGAAAAAAATAGGCTGCTTCACAAACACAAAGGTATTAATTTATGCCACTGACTAGCACACTAGTAAAAAACATAACTGAAAGCTACAGCTGGAGGCTATATTTTCATATCTTAAAGAGGAAGGAAAATAATTGTCATGGTATAACACCTAATTTGGGAAGAGAATTCCATGCTGCTGTTAGTTCCTGATCAGATGGCATATCAGACAGCAGGGTACGTATCACTGCTAGTATCACAAAGGAAAAACAGAAATAAGATCAAACCGCAGGTGCTATATGGCTCTGATACTGAGGAGACATTACCAAAGCCAGGATCCAAAAAGAGAACAGCGTTGGACTCAGAAGAGTATCTGTAGTACAAACTTAATGTCTAAACAACAAACTAGCAGTTGCTTCCAGATTTGTAGATAACGCTATCAAATGTCAAATGGGGGACTGGTACCGTCTGATTGTAATTCTACTTTCAGCCGTGCTTTGCAAGGAAATTGCACACAGCACCCTGCAGGGCAGTAAAGCACGGGCTGGGGAGGAGTGCCTGGGCAGGCTGCTGGCAGCCTAGGAGCACATTTTCAAAAACTGCCATGCGTGGCTACTGTGTTACGTACCGTGAGTTCCTGTTTGATGTACTCAGTTGTGGCCTCAAGAGCTCTTGTCCCTCGAGTAGCTTCATCTTCCACTGCTTTGACAGTCTTCAAAAGCGATGTGACATTTGTTACCATCACCTGAAGAAGAAAGGGGTGAAGACAAAAATATGTGATTCCTTCCTCCCATTTTTCAGAGACGGCAGGTATAAAGCAAGGCAAACTAAGCTAGCTAGCATTATGACTTCCATTAGGGCTTTGTGAAGTGTAAGTGTCATCGGGCTGAATACCAACTCTCCTATTGGCCAGTTTCCGAAATCCCCCTCTAAGTAGCAGAAATATAGCATGACTAACTGCAGAGCAGTACCATTTTCAGTGTGAGTGTTCTAGCAAGAACTGTACAAAAAAGCTGGGAAATCCACAACATTTCTAGGGTACGTCTCTTACACAGATTGGTTCTATTAAATGTCTTTTCTTCCTGCACATCTTACACTGAAAGAGATGTGAACCAAGGTATGGCATTTTGTTTTGAAATTTATGAGCATGTTCTCTGCAATGTGCTAACCCCTCAGGTAAGCAAGCAGCCAAACACCAGCCTCAGCTCAAACGCAGCCATAGAACCAGTGTTACTATTCTTCTTATGACTCCAGCAGTCCTGATGCAGAATAAGCCCCCAACTGCTGCTGTAATAACTGCACCTTTCCTACACCCCAGTATGTTGAGACACAAATGATAGGTGCAATGAAAAAAGAAGAGACAGAAAGGTCAGCTTCTTGACAATTATGACTTAAAACACAAAGCTCATCACAGCACAAAGAGCCAAAAAGTCGCTTTTCTCAATGAAATGGGTCATTTTCAAGTAGTGGCTCAGCAGTATACCATTACCATATGCTCTGAAAGGAAGGGAGGTACAGGTTGCTTACACGTAAGCAAAACAGAGAGGAGAGTCAGAAGAGCTTCTGGCTAGGCAAGAAGCTACCACAACACTCACATAGTGTGACAGCAGAATAATACTGCCTACATCTCCTCATCTGGAAGTATTTTGTACACGCTAAGCCACAAGATTTTTGTGAGGAAAAAAATACATCTTAGGTGCAGGAAAAATAAAGCACAAAGGTTCCACAGTTTAGAGCTTTGATACATATGTACTTCCTGGGAAAATCTAGGAGCGGTCAGAAATGCACAATATCCTACTACAGAATTATTGGAGGGTTTTTTCCCCACTCTGTCCCTGCCTGAAGCTGAAGGTCTAAATACGGAGGCTGCATGCTTGTTCTGAGCACATGCCATTGCTTAAAATGTAGTATTTTGGTAACATTTTACACTGGATAAATTTCAATCTATAATATTATTTAAAAGGAATCCACACTCAGATATGGACTTGCAAAAGAAAGAAGTTTCTCTTCAGAAAGATTAAAGTTCTTCCATCAGAACCACAAAAGTTATCTGTCAGCCTACAAAAACGGATAGCTTTGTGGAAACACAATAGTGTCATCTTAATTTTCCATATCATCCCAGGATGATAAAAAAACAAAGAGGTGAGATTTCAGGCAATCAGAAATTGCTGGAAAACCCAGCTTCACATGTCTATCAAGTGTGATTGCACAGATACTTCCAAATAAAATGTAAGAATAAGGTTTTACCTTGGCAGCACCTTTCAGCTGGTACATGGATGGATCATCTGCTGGTTTGCTGGCAGCTCCTTTGGTAGCACCAATGAGATCAGAAAGGGCCTTTGCAACATCCTTGATAGCATTGATCAGGACAACCTTTATGAGTAAGAAAGAGCCGTAAGCCTCAGACAGAAAATGGTAGCCTGGATGAGGGTGTGACTTTTAGAACACAGCTAAAAAAACAACAACTACTGGCACACAAATAGTACCATTACCCCTCCACCTCAATAAAACATAACATTCTGGGAAAGGAAAAGCTATGTTGGTAACTACTGCATTTCATACAAGTGGTCAGAATCTATAAAAGCGAAGAAATGGATGTGCTGATTGCAGGTAGGATTTACTTCTTCTGAGCTTCCCTAAGAGCCTGTTTACTTTTTTCCATACTCTTTACCTTTTGGGTGGAAGTGGGAGGAGAGTAAGAAAACAGATTGATTCTGAGCTTACAGTGTAATTCTACAGTTATGTCCCAATTCTGAAATCACCTACTGGAAGATCAAACGTACTTCCTGTCAAAGACACTGAAGGGGTTGTCTGTTGTAGAATTGTGATTTGCAGAGCAGGATGGCATGTTTTGCTGAGCATGAAAAAAACCAGTGTAGTCAGTGAGATTCTTGTAAGCCTGAGAAAATTCACAAAAGTATCTATCAAATAGCAAATGTTTATAGCTAGTGGATTCTGTTGGCTGCTCACCAGGACAAGTTTGTAAACATTGGCAAAACTTTCTCATAACAGCTTTGTGAACTATGCAAAGCTGGCAGAGCATGTGGACAGCGTATGGACAATAACTGTTATCCAATTAGTAACGCAGCTTAGATGTGTGAACAGGCTCGTTAACCTATGGGATTCTGGGGGCTGTCTCTTGTCGACTATAAAAGGCTGAAAAACTTTGCAATAAACGGATTTGACTGCCGACCCCCTGGAGTGTTTCTCTCTCCAGAGCTCTTCCCCGACAGTCTCTTGTCCAACTGTTTTGGTCCAACTTGCAGTGTAAGACATCTGAAACTACTGCACCAGATAAAGTAAGTGTTCCTGCTATAGAAAAATGTAGGGACACTATTGTATGCTAAAGCTATTAGAAAAGCTCCATTTGGGGCACATGCAACACCTAAAACTTCAAACTAGCAATATAAAATTGCACCAAATATTTACTTGTGCGCTTTTATTCTAAGTACTGCATCCTCAGTTTTTACATAACAGAAAAAAAAACAGTGTGTGATAAATGTTTTGCAAATATTGCTAGTTTATGGGAAATGGTCTGTTAGGAAAAAAAAAAAAAAGTGCTTCCAGCAGTATTTTCCTAGAGAGGAGCATCTCAGAAGCGTTTAGTCCATCACACAGGTCAAGCAAAACAGAATACACATCCCTTTCAGAGCATCATGCAAACAAGCAGGCTTTTTCAAACTAATTTGATACCACCACAGTCACACTCGTGATGTACTTGCCAACTACCATTTCACCAAGATCCAAACAAACAACTGAAGAAATGTTTGCAATAATCTATGTCAAAGGCTGAAGTTACTGAGCTAAATGAAAACCAACTTGGATATAGCTAGAGAATGTCAAGGGCTTGCTGGCCTACACAAGTAACATACAGTGAATTTACAGCCCAGTCTTAAGGCTGGATACGTAGCTTTGAAGTCATGCAAGCACCTTATAACAAAAATGGCATGAGTCAGGGGTCCAATCACAACCTAGTAAGAACGAGGCAAACACGTTGCCAACATCACCCCAGCTAGAACACACGCATGCAATAAAAGCAAACGCATTATGCAAAGGCCTGTCTAGCTCCACTCAATGCTTCAGCCTCTTGAGTGTGTTCTAAAAGGAGTGATGTCAAAGTAAACCCAGAAAGTCACAGAAGAGATGAATGCTATTGCACAGAAGTCCCACAAAGTCTTATCAATTGTAAACTGTATCAAGAAAAATCTTAAGACATCTCACCTGTGTTTCAGGGTCATCAGATCCCAAGCTAGCCGCTCCCAATTTTACTACCTCAGCAAGTTGTGTGATGGTGTTAGCTGATGACTGAGCTGCTTGGGCCAGTTTGTCCTGACTCGAGGCAGCACCAGAAACCAGTAATTTTGTATCTTCAACTAAAGCTTTTGCTGTTTTCAGGATATTTTCCCTGTAGCAAAAAAAAAAAAAAAAAAAGAGGAAGCAAGAAACTGGAAAAGGAGAAAAGGAAAAAAGGTGCTTTTCTATGTTATGGTGACTAACAGCTACATAGAGGAGCTGATGTAAGTGATCATGCCAGTGTCAACTCATAAGGTAAAACAAGCTAGATTGCAAATAAGAAATACAGAGATGACTACTAAAACAATAGTGTTGTATGTTGGGCTGGATGCAAGGCAGTTCATTAAAATAGCCCATCTTGAAAAAAAATGAGGTAAGGCAGTAGCAGAAGACAGCATCACATTTTAACATTGAAACAAAACCTGGCGATGCTGTGAGGAAAGTAACAGTTGTCAAACCTCTATCTTTATCAGAGTATTGTGAGGAAACTAAAATGATTATTTGTGAAGAAGGCAGTAGCAAGAATGGCTAAAGGAACAAAGAATGGACCTAGTCACAGTTCCCTCCCACCCTTATACGTACTTTGACATGTCAGGACAACAAATCCAAAGCAACATTTGGGTAAAAGTAGAAACTCTTTTGAATATACACTTCACAAATGAGTTAAGTTCACTGAGCACTAGAACCATATTCATGTAAAATGTCAGCCTGGCAATTAATGACACCTGTACTAAAATTCCTGACTATCAATCTGAGGAACAGCAGCCACTTGCACACCATTGCATCTCTCCTTGTTCTTGAGCAACTGTGGAGGCAGGAACTAAATGCTGGCCATGCATTTGTGCATAGGCCAACTAGGCTGCAAAGCAGTAAGTCAGTATCTTAGCTGGGGAGCCCAGGGTTGTAGTGTAAAGGAACTAGCAGACAGACGCTGCAAATCTCTTAACAGGATGAAAAACGCTGGGGGGTTATTTTGCTGCAGGTGCTACTTCAAGGGAAAACCAGGCTTGTCTCTGTCAAAGGGCAAAATGCGTGGTACAGCTCGGTCGTTTCCATCACTGCTGTCCACAACAGCATTAACCATGGGCACGATTTAGTGTTACTAGCAGCCAGACAGTCAAGAACATCTGTTAGAAAACAGGTATACAGAGGATTCCTCCGCAACGTCACCAACAGCTCACTTTCGCTATTGGAGTAACAGCACATGATAGGCTGTGCAAAAATAACAAAAAATTAGTGCTACAGTTGCTGTCTTCTGTTGGAAGAGCTCTTGGTAGATGTTCCCCATCTGTTTCAGATTCTTTTCTCACAGAAATTACCCAAGCAAAGTTTGCCATCCTCTATCAATATCTCAATTTTCCTATTTCTCCTCTCAGTCCCCTGCCTCGTTCAGTGTCACTTATGGGAATCTAGAAAGTAACAGTTGATCTCCACATGCCGGTTGCTTCTGCCAGTTCCACCGTTCCCCTGCGTACGCGCTCTTCCACCTTTGTTACGCTGACCTGTGGTCTGCAAATGACTCGTTGTTCTCAGCATTAAGGGTTCCAGCAGTAGCAAACATGATCGTGGTATCTAGGTCTGCGATGATCCCAGACACGGCACTAGCCGCAGTGATGCAGGCTTGCGTGCCTTTGTTTCCTGCTTGAAGGGCAGATAAAACTAAGGAGACCTGGAAACGACATAAAGCAACAAGTGGTCAGTGGAAGAAAGCCTCACAATGGGACATGAAGCGAGCTGTTTAACATGACTGGAATCAACACTGGAAATTCATTCTTCAGTGGCATTTTGCAAGCTGTAAAAAACCTCTTCAACCCCTTTCCCTTATTTGCTCTCCTAGTGTTGCAGCGGTGATGACTAAAGATTGTCTCAAATTAGAGGAGAATTCAGCTGCCAAGTCCACTTTTCAGACAGAATGAAGTGCTCTGCTCATCATAGGAGGAAGCACATAATTTAAAACACCCTTGAAATACCAGTCAGAGCCAATGTAATGAACTTCTGACAGGATAAACACTGGAGCCAAGAACTGCTGCTTTATCCCTAACACACACAGTTAAACAGCAGCCTCAAGCACCCCAGGAGTCCTGTACATGACACTCATACAAACTTTAACATCAGAGAAATAGGAAGTATAAACTCTCTGAATCCAGACATGAAATATTATCATTAGAAAGTTATAAAAGACAATATATGGCTTTATATCTAGAAACAATTTTGATCACTGAAGAAGTTAGAGATCTCCATTTAATCTAGTTAGCAGACTTACAAGAGTCTGCAGCTGGGATGCTGTTCTCATGCCAGACTATGCTCCTAAATTCTTCTTCTGCAAGAAAGGATCCACACCTTGGGATATATACACTGACTTCTAATAGTACAGTTTTTCCTCAGGTTCTGTTCAGATTCAAAGTTGTCCCCAAATAGGTTGTTGGCTGTGATTCATTATTACTTTACACACCCAGTTTTACTCTTCTTTCAAGATGTTGCCTACCCCTGCCTAAATTTGGAATTGCCAATACTCCTGGGAAACAACAGGGTTGGAAATCTTTATGGCTGACAGCACACTAACACAGGCTGAACAAAGGATGTCTGATGAAATCTACAAGTAACTGACATTTGACTCTCAGCCTCTGTGTCCAGCAAAAGGAGAGAGAGGCCATTGCAGAAGTTCAAAGTCAAGCTATCCAAACTATCTGTGTGAAGTTAACATTTCCAAATATCAAGAAACCCCAGAGAATTTGAAGAAACCTCAGAGAGTCTAAAGCTGCACTTCTAAGTGTGTTAGCTTGGACCAGTCTTAAAAAGGGAGGATGTTGCTATGTGAAATCATGTTGACAACCAACCTCATCTTGGTTACTGTGCCCATCCACATGAACTTAGTATTTCCAAGGGAGTGCCTCAAGAGGTACAAATACCATCTCACGTCCTCAGGATTAGTTTTAGACCAGTCTCCCCCTGGTACGAGGCTAAAGTTTTATTATGAGACCTGAGAAAGGGCTAATCATGGGCTAATGTAGAACATACACAGAACTGAACAAACACTGAACAACAGCACTTTCTTTCAAAAGAAAAGCAAGAATATAATGTAATTTAAGTCAATGTAGTACTAAAGAGGGAAGTGGAAAAAAAAAAAAAAGTCCTGAATCCACGCAGTTTGACTAGTTAACTCCCTGAAGAAGCTCAGTAGACAACACAGAGGGATGCCTTACCTTTTCTGTGACAGCACGAGCACATTCTATCAACTCCCTTTTGGTGTAGCTGTCTGTAGGACAAATCTGGAGAGCTCCAGCTTTTTGCACAAGAAAGATACAGCCGTGACCAAGTTCTTGCACCCGAGTCCTGATCTGGAACCCTATCTAGATGGTAAAGGAGGTAGAGGGAAAGGGGAAGCAAGAATGAAGTGAATAAAAAGATGTCATGCTGTTATACTGTGTCAATACAAACGGAAACATGGTCATTCTGGTGTCTCTTCATTATCAATATTCAGGCCATTGCTATACTGTCTGCAGAGATGAGGGAAAAAAGGACAGGTGTAATAGCATCTACTCATGTAGCACAAACCTATAGAAGGATTACTGGTGAAACAGGAGCAGTAGTGACCTGGAGCCCGTGAAAGAGAAAACACAAGGCATGTACACCCAAGTCAAAAGTACATACTTTAAGCATACACAACTTTGCCACATCTGAATAACATCATTTCATCTCCTGGAACTGAACCATCAGTGTGAGCTGTATTCAAGGTACGTACATATAAAAAGTACGTTTACTCTATACTTCTGAAACTGGGTCAAAATGCATATGACTCTGTGCAGTTCTAAATCCTGCAAAGAGTCTCAGCTCTTCAGAACTGAGCATGTACATGCAGAGCACTGAAATGTGGAAATCCTGCCCTTACTGCTCCTGATTTATTAATGATCTTGCAGCATAAGCTGCAAGGTTCCTGTTTAGAAAAACATGATCATTTTAGCGTATTTTGGCATATAGGTGTGTACTAGGAGGACTAAGTAGGCAGGAATCACAGCCATTAGTATCTCAAATGGAATTATTTCAACCTCAGGCAGAAAGTAATGTGCAGGAACAGTAACTCAATTTAACAATATTAAGGCAAATGCAAGCTATTGCTTTTTGAGTAGCTACTAAGCACAAAACACTCCAGCAGTGTATCAGTGGTGGAATTTCATTACAAAGTCACAAACATTTTGAAAGTCTTTTATCCAGACAAGCCAACAGAGCTGGTATCCTCTTACTCCATTTCAACAAAGTCTGTCTATGCTCCATAACCAGAGGCACACAATGAGGAGAGAGGCAAAAATATGTCTGTAATTGTGCTTAGAAAATATGGAGCAATTACTGTAACAGATTAATGCAACTGGGGCAAATAGCCCATATTCCTCTGTAAAAATCGCTTGCAATTTATCACAACATGAGACGGAAGGAAATCTGTATAGTAAATAACTAACAGCTGCCTTTGTATTTCCAAGCTGTCTGTAAATGAAAGCCCCAAGTAATTTAGGAGGTTCTGTCCTGGTCTACAGAATTGTCCACTGTTGAAGCTGTTTCTTTCTGAAGCCGGACCTGTTTTGATGAAAGATTTCTGTTCTTAGATTAATTCTTATAACAAAGCTTGTAACATAAACAGCCACACTTAAACAGTGAAATGTTACAACTTTTGTCCAGTCCCTAAGTATTGTTAAAAATCTGCCAATTTCATAGCACTCCCAGGAGAAAACATGTTGCATAGACAATTGGCATGTCTTGAGAGCAAGGGGAGAGCTGAAGAGAAACAGAACTGAAGCTGGTTTGAAGTTCTGCACATTCACTGAAAACACTTGGTAGTAAATCCCAATTCCTTTTGTTATACACCTGCGCACATCAGCAGTGGTAAAACTGAGGTGTGTAGTCAGTAAATACGTACTCTGTAGTATTATGTGCAGCTCTGCCCCAGGCAGTGAAGGCACACTGAATATAGAGTATATTTGGAGGAGAAAAAGACCAATAGCAAAGACCAAAGTAGATACCTCCGCAAACTGTAAGACGGAAACAGTGGTTCTGACACATATATGTAAATAATTGTTGATATTCTAAGATTTCACAGCATTGTGAAAAGACACAATTTCATTACGATCATTGGCCTTTTCTGTATGATGAGAACTAACTTGGAAGAGTTTTTGTCTGGCTGCATATAGTTTGTGCCTTAAAATGTTTTTAGTAAAAATAGGAGTAGACTGTAAAAGAGACGGATCTGTGTAGCCAAAGTACACCTATAGCATTGGCTGGTTTCACGCCACAATTAAGTGGCTCAATTAAGTGACAGCAGGCCAAATGAAACTCTTCTGGGAACAGAGTAGCTGTCCTGTCCCACGTTTCCAGCAGCAGAGTCAGGACCTTCGTTTGCCTCTTGGGCAGAGCACACCTAGTACACGGTGCCTGTGTACACAGGTGGCTTAACGAAGCCGAGGCGGGAAAGGCGCTCGCCGCGCTCCTTTCGGAAGCCTCGCAAAGGAGCTGCCCAGCGGTTCAAAGCCCACCTGCTGCCTGCCCCACCACACAGGAGCCGCCATGCCAGGCAAGGCCTGCCTGCCCACTGCTGCGCCCAGGGAGCTCAATGCCCCGTGGCGCTTCACTCGGCGTTTACTCTGTCCTCTACGGTAAGGGAATACCCATGTTGCCACCACTAAGTACAGAGAATAAAGAGGTCTAAAAACTGCAGACCTCCTCTGGTTCTGCTGTAGCTGCAGCCATTCGGCCCTGGAGAGCCAAATGCCCATAGTCACTGGTCATTTGTGATGCAAGTCCTCCCAACTCTTCCGGGTTAGTAACCGACTTAGTCATCTGAAAAAAGAACACAGGCAAGAGAAAAAGAAAAATGACAGGCATGAGAATAAGTAGTTAATACACTCCAGCTTCGAAGCACATACATCTGTTTGGCCACACTGATGAAACGGGGTAAACCGCTTGCCATGTAAGGGACCTGTCCTCCAGCAAGAATTCCATGAGGAAATGCACGCAAGCATGCTTTTTTAGAGTCAGAGTAACCAGGCACTCACAGAACATACTGGAGAGCTCAAGGAGCAGCAGTTAGAGCTGGTAATTCACTCTCTGACACAGCAGGGCGAGAGGCCAGGTACACAGTTACTCGGACCGGGTGGGGAAGTGGGTTTTGTGCGTCACAGCCACTTTGTTTTGTCCAAGGTGAGCTAGCCTACATCAGGCTCAGCTGGCAGGGCACGGCAGCACAAAAATGGAAAAAATCTGAGGACTGATGCAAAACATGTCTCAGATAGGGGAAGTGGGCTGAGAAGAGAAGAAACAGGTAGGACCACATGGAATGCCTCAGCCAAACTTCAGTATAGGTAACCAAATCTCTCTTTTGAAAAAGTCTATCTTTAACAGAGTTATTTCTTCTCTCTCCAATTTACGTTAGTAAAAACTACAGAATTCCACCCCTGGGACAAAACTAATTTTACACAAATTTATACTGTTTGTCCATAAGCTGCAAAGTAGTAGATAAGCGAATCATCAGCCTGTCTTGACTGCAACAGCAATCAATTAAATAAAAAATTTCTTCTGTAGCATGCATGAATAGTTCCCTTGCCTCCCTCTCTCTCAAAAAAAAAAAAGGAATGGAAGCACTCCTCAAAAGGCAAACATGCTATGGTAAGCATTACTGTGAAACATGAGGCAAGAAAATCTCAATTCAACCTGTGTCTTTTGTTCTTTTGTTAATACTGGGCAAACCACTGAAATGTAAGAGAAGAACAAGTTGAGCTGTTGATCTGCACGCACTTGCAAGCATCGCAGGGGGCTGAAAATACCAATGTTATTTCACAGGCTAAATAAAACAGCACACGTGAAAGGGTAACCTTAAGTCATCAATAAATGTAAGGTGATAGTTAAAGAGGCTGATGAAAAAGTGCATAGGTGAAACGTTCCCTTTATTTCTCATAGAAAATGAGCCAAATAGAAAGGGTATGTATGGAAGAGGCACAGTCCCATCCAGCTCTCCTCCTGTAGGAGGCCACCCCTATGATCTCACCACTAATATATAAAAGTTAAACTGGCAAAATCGTCACTTTCTTTGCTCCATTACCCCTAAAGAGATGAGGTTATTGAAATCAGCATTACAGTTCACAATGCTGTGCAAATCATTCCATGTTCCTTATGTAGGCAGAAGTGTTTGGACTTAGTTGTAACCAAATACCTTACCATTTCTTGTGCTGTTACAGCAATGGCTTTAGAATATTTCACAACTGTAGTCTGATAATCAACAAATGTTCCTTCAGGATCTGGAGGTGTACCTCCATCCAGCTGCAAGGAAGATGAAAAAACATGGCAGAAATAAGAAGTTCCTAACCCACAGCCTACTTTACATATAATAAAGAAACTGTATTATATATTCATTTTTATGCTCTCCTCTCTCTCAAAATCTGCAAGTGAAAACAGCGCACCAGGATGTACTAAGAAGTTCATAAAAGACCTTAACCCATGTTATGAGCATCAAAGATGAAGAAAATTTATAGTGCAGAGCTTTCAAGAACAAGATCAACTTCTCACTTATGGTAAAACCACTTGTAGGTCTCAGCTGCTGTAGAAAGGGATATGCAACTATTAAAAACCAAAGTATTCCTGCAAGAAAATAAGGTAAGATTCCTTCATGTGGTTAAGGTTTCAATCCTGCACACACCTTTAACTTGAGACAGAAAAAGGCAAGTATTTGAGCAAAACTCTTTTATATTTTGGAACTAGATGATTCCTGTAAAACACTTTATGAAGGGTAGCAGAGCACCTCAGACTTTGACATCTTCTCTAAAAGCAGTTTGCTTCAAGGTTGGCCTGCTGATCATTTAGGAGACTATCATAGAATACAAGTAGGAAAAGGAAACAAAACCAAAAGGCCAGTTGACCTAAGATGGCAATTAAACACCAGCATATTACCCAATAAAAATATTTTGTAGTAATTCTATCCACAGCCACTGTGCAGGCTGTTAACATGAGCACCACGGACTGTATTTTCAGAAGTGAATCGACAGCAGCTCTTCCAACCCTCTGCCATGCAGATCAGCTTCTGAGTACAAAATGTAAAAGGAATCCGGTTTTCTACACTCACCTTGCTCATCGCCTCTGCTATGGAGTCCACCATACCTCCAACCATGCCTACTTCACTTGCCGCTTCGTTCAAGGTGACCATGATATCATCCACAGCCTCCTTCATCAGTTGAGCAGCCTCAGTGATTGCATCGTGAGTATGGGATGCCTGGAAGAGAAAAATTGGAAAACCAGAGATGATCAGAGAGCATTCTGTGCAGGAATCAACACACAAGTCAAAAACGTAAGGAAGATGGAAAGATGTGGTGGCACAATTCCTGCCCTTGCAAGGCCGACGTCCCCTCCTGGGGTCACGCAGCAATCCATCGGCTAGGCACGTACAGACTGTGGAACTGCTGCACCAGAGCAATAAGGCCACCTCCAACGTACCTGGCTCCTGCTGCCCGTTCCTTGGGGACAGTAACAACAATTACCTCCTGACAATCCACAATGTTAAACATGAGTCGCTCAGAAAAACAACAGAACCTCTTCTAGAAAAAACGATGAAAATGCCCTGTATGTAAGGGAAGCTCCAAAGGCAGAAATCATGCAAGGCAGTGAAATGCCCTAGTCTTGTACTGAAACAAAGTGTTAAAAAAAAATCGTGTGCAGGCCGTGTGTGAACAAGAGGCAGTCTGCTACATAAGGAAAAAAAAACCATAATTATGTTATAGCTCTAAAAGAGACTGTAACAGAAAATGCTCTACAGGAATTATTTAACAACAGGAATTTCTAAACCAGTGTCTTGGTTTGGGACAGAACAGAGCTGGTTCTGTTCAGTGATTTTACTTTTCATCTAAAACTTCTTCTAATTAACTGCACTGTCTGAAGTTGGCAGCGTATTTTTGCAGACTGTCTGCTTCTAGCAGTGATCATGCTCCATGTTTAGTTACTACCAGGGATTTGTATGCACACCAAGGTCACTGCTAAAGCTTGGTTTAGCATGGGGGAGGGGGGGCAGAAAGTAAAACTGCACCTGCAGAGAGGAGTGGACAAGATGAGTAACCCTAAAATTCACCAATGGGGTATTCCACCACATATCTGTCATATTCTGTATAAAAGCTGAAGAATCATGAGGGTCAAGCCCTTCTGCTTTCTTGATGGCTTTTGCTGCTTCTACAATGGCCAGCATCCGATGAAGCATCCGTTCTGCCTTGGATCCCAAGCTGTGTGTTCCTGAGCAGAGTTCTGGAACCCAGCTCCTGTGCCCAGTTGCCTTCTCCAGCTGAGCCCAGCCTTGGACTTTTCCCCGGGGGCTGCTCCACAGCATCGGGCTAATGGTGACGCATTGCCATTGAGGGCAGGTGGAGCTGGGTGCAATACTGGCTTTGTACACATTTGTATATATTCCACTTCATCTATTTATTAATTTATTATTACTATTAGTAGCAGTAGTATTAAGGCTGTTTTCCTTTTCT